GAAAGTAATTTTTATTTCTGTGTGTATCTCAAACTTTACATAGGGTTGCTTATATAACAAAATAGAGAACATCATCTCACAATCCTAATCGATGTGGGACTAAATCAAGCACCATAATACTAACACTCATTGTGGAAATTATGTGCAAAATAACCTGTCTGTGCATTCTTCTTACGACGAGCAGTGTTCCTGATTCCTGATATCAGGTTGTGTGCTCATTAGTTAAACTCTGGAACAATATGAAAGATACGAGACAACAAAATAGAAAAGCAAATTAAAAAGATAAAAATGAAAAAGAAAAAGGAGAAAAAAAAAATGTATGAGTTATGACCATTGACCATGATGTTTGCATATATTCGAACATTTGAGCAGGCCATGGATGAAACTTCAGCTTGACTTGGCCTTCGATGCACTGTACTACTTTTTCTCTTATTCCCTGCCATGTGTCGCACCTGCCTTGGCTATGCATGTGTTTCTTTCTCACTCTATACGGGCTGTGCCCCGCGTTTGATATTAATCTATCATTTATCTTTTGACTTATTCTCTTTTATGATTCCATTCCGTGAGTTAAAATTTCCTCCCGTTTTGGTAAGATTTCTTAGAAGAACGAGGCTGAAAAATCTCTAGAATCGGCATGAAAATTCTGTATGGACAGGTCCTAACTCCAAGGACAGAACACACATGAATAAGAGGTGTCACTTCGACTTGCTACTTTGCTAAACAAATCTATGTATGTCTGTGACGTCCATGCAGAAAAAAAAAATGTGGGAAATACAACTTCAGGCTAAGAATTAGGTTATTAGTCATGCAATATATATATATATATATATATATATATATATATATATATATATATATATATATATATATTGTAATGTAAGATATTTGAAATTTGTATTAAAATTAAGACCAGAGTTGTGAAGTGGTGGAATATTATCCTGCTTCAAGACACAGGCATATACCTGCTGGCGCTACGTGACACACAGTTTTACTTTGAAAAGGCAAAGGCAACAGACAAAGTGAGGGTCACACTACGCAAAAAGGAGTAATAAAACACTGAAAGGGTCACTGGTCACTCTACAGTGGAGCCACGACAGAAAAGGCAATATTATTCTTAGACAAAATGGTAGATTGAGAATCTTATGATACAAACATCTACACAACTATTTTTATTAATTTTATAATAAAATAATTATATTTTCATGTTTATTATTATTATTTTATTAATAAAATGGGTGTTAATGGGATGTTTAAAATAAATAATGGTGTCAATTTTTAATATTTAAAAAATTTGGAGCAACTTTTTAACTAAATAAATATATACTATCTCTTTTTCATAGAGAATCTCAAAATTAAGTTATTACTCTAAATAATATCAAACATTTGTATATTTAAATATTATATATTAAAAATAAAAATAAGTACAAAATTAATTTTATGTACAAAATATTAAGAAGTCAAATGTGAGTTAAAATTTTGTATTAAGTAGAAATAAGAAAATTGAATAATTTATAAATAAGAAAGACTCGTAATTTAATCTTTTAAAATTTTAGATTAAAGATAATATCATATTTTTTATGGTTATTTTATGTCTCTTTTGTATGAATCTTAATCCATTTGAAAATATCTAATATATTTAGATATTATATATTAAAAAATAAAAATAAATATAAAATTAAATTCATTTCCAAGAAACTAAACAAATGTATAAAAAAGTAAACGACATCCACTTTTAATTTTTCTATAATTTACTTTTTTCTTTAACATTATTTATTATTTAACTACTTTCATCTTTTATATTTTTCATATCTATTCATCATAGATGAATGAATAAGAATAACATTATGTTGAGTCTTCACATAAAGAAAATTAAAATTTTACATATAAAATGCTTATATAAAAAAAAATATTGTTTTTTAGTCCTTACGCCCGTGCATCTTATATAACATTTCATTTCTTTATCCTTTTCATCACATCATTCATCGTATTTACTATTTCTCTCCCTTTTCCTCTAATGATTCTTATATTCCACTTGGGTGTTAAAGAAACATCACTTTGAAGAATTTGAAGTGCTGATGAGAGTACATGCTCTGAGAAGACAGAGAAAAAGAGTATGAATTGAATATAAAAAAATGAATGAAGAAGTTGATTTTGAAAGTACGATTGTGAAAAAAAAAAATCTAAACATTTAAATTTAACTTATAACTTACTTATCCGACTCACTCTTGAAGCAGTATAGATTTGGGTTCAAATCTAAATATGTATTTTTGAATTTTGCAATTAATTGGATTAATAGTTTGAATATGAATTGGATTTTTCTTATACATTTAAAAAAAAAGAAATCCAAGATCAGTATGCCTTTTTTTTTTTAAATTACTTTATCATTTTTTTGTTGTCTAAGATACTTTTTACTCCATTTACAAAATTTAATTTGGATCACCATTAAATAAATATAAATATAATTAACTTAAATACACATTTAAATTAGATTAAAAAAAATATAAACTAACTTTATCGAATTAATGGATTTAGATTTGAATTCAATCTAGATTGAGATTTTAGTCAAATCCATACCAACCCATAAATAAAAGAGAAAAATGATAAGTGTTTCTTGAACATTTTTCTTCATACTTCTAATTTAGGCAAAATAACTTTTTTTTTTTAGTTTTAAAACTTACATCTCTATTACTTTATATATATATACCAAGCATAAAATTCAAAACCTCTATTTTTTACTCATAACATAAAAATCATTTTCAATCTTAGACATTACATCAAATTATTTTTAATTCTTAAACAGTACATAACAAACAAAAAACATTTTATTAAAACATTATTGTAATATCCCATATCCCTCTATACAGTAAAAGTTGAAATTTATTAAACAATAAAAATCAAGATAGTATCACATTTATATAAGGGACTAAAGAATAATATAAATCACAACTTACATATTTCAAAATAATAAGAACTTCGTTTAGATTTTTTAAATTCAATCAAAAAAACAAACAAACATACTAATTAATAAAATATAAAAATATGGTTTTATATATTTTCTATCAAAATGTTAAAGTTCTTTTTACTCTGTAAATCTTATTACTAAGCTATATGATTAGTTTTTGTTAAATTTTATAATACCTTATCCAAAATAATCATTGTAATTTTAAAGATATGAAATTGTGACTATTTCATTATTTATTCTCATAATTATTTTAGCTTATTTTAAAATTTATTTTTATTTAAGCAATTAATAAGATTGTGTAATTTTGAAAAATAGCTGAGTTTTAACGTCGTTGGAAAATAAAAATGGAGGTTGGTGTTATATATAATCTTTCTTCCACTCCATGGACATATGCATCTTAAGGATATCAAACAAACATTACCGATAACAACAATTATATATGTGAAATGATGATGCCGACGCGTGATAGAAAAATATGTGGAGTATAAAAATAAAGTGAAAAGAATCCAGCATTTGAATAAAATATAAAAATGTCTTTTTTCTAGGTGAGAAATATCTCAGATAAATTTTTTTTTTTCAACCTCTGACTTCAAGTATAAAAATTTAAATTCAGTCCTATTAAATGTAATTTAGTAACAGGTTATATTATTTGATTTTTAAATTTATGCTTAATTTAAAAAAATCTTTAAATTGACAATAGAAAAATGAAATAGTATCGTATGCGATAATTTTTTATTTTATTGCATTTCATCTACTCATTATACGTAAAAACATTTTTAGGAAATAAGTTAGCAGGACAACATTTATTTGTCTGTATGGTAATTTATAAATAAAATTATATTTATGTGCATAAGTATGATTTAAAATTACATCAGTTTTTATTTTAATATAAATATGAAATTTAGTTAAATTACTTTTAATAATTTACATTTTTGTTAAGCGATTTTAATTTATAGCAGAATCGAATGATTTTACCTGATCTCGAACTTGAAGGAAATCTACCCACCATGGAGGATTCGTCATCATGTTACCTACTCCAATGTCAGCAGCAATCTTTTACCCCAAAAAATGAAGTGTGGGCTTTCCCATTTAAAATAATAGTAGCATCTGGCAAATAAAAAACAATGAAAGTTTACAAATGTAGAGCCTACTGTAAATACATTTTAGTTTTTTAATTATAAAATCATTTCTCAATCTTTATAAGATTACTTGTTCTTTTACATAAATTTATAAATTTGACGGGTCCCAGAGTTATGTTTCTTGATTCTATGTTGGTCCCACAAACTATCTAAAATTGTCGCTCGTGTGTTAAACGAACTCTGGTGAAATCAAAACAAGCTGCGGTATTGGAGTCTTTGACAGTATTACTGCTCAATTCAAACTTGTTTAAGACTATTTATATTCATATTTATAATAGTTTTTTAACCTTAAAAAAATATGTATACAAATTAAGTTCATGAAAAATATATTTATTTCTTTTAAACAGTCTTTAATTAAAAAATGAGGAGATAATCTGACAGATAGCATCGATGCCTTAATATTTAAACATTAGTTCGAGTTTGAATTTCGAAAAGAAAGCTATTAACATATTTGCTATAGTTGTAAGCAATTGCATACGAAGTTTTCGTATAAGATTGACCAACGTAAATACTACAACACCTGCGCCAGACACAGCGTAAATACATATATAAAATTATAGTATTACGATTAATCTTTAATTTACTAATACACGACAACAAAAGAAAAATCTAGACTTGGATGAAAATTTTATGTCAAATATCTTCATCTCGTATATGCTTAAACATGCGTATCCTTTTTTTTTTTTTTTTACTCAAAACATACGTGTCTTACGTGAAAAGGAAGGGAAAATATACCTCAAATCGGATATGGAGATTACTTGTGCATTCAGTACCTGTTTGAAACATCAAACCTTTATACATAACAGTATCTTACAGGTAGCAGCATTACTTACAGTAATAGAGGAAATAGCTTCTTCACGGTTCTAGAGTAAAGTTGACAGTTGAAATGAAAGATCAAATTACTTAGTGAGGTAGTATATTATAAGAAAAAGCACGACAAAGGATGCTACAAGCGTAAACATTCTCCGGCTGGATTTGGTCTCAAATACCTGAAAATGAGACAAACCACTCAAACAGGCATGGACAAAACTCCACCGCACTTCGCTCTCTTCAAAAGCCATATAGGATTAGAAGTCTACATACCATTTTAAATTTGTCCATAGTGCCCGAAAGGACTCCTCTTGATGCATCCATATCATTCCCCTAAATTAACAGCATCTTATCAGTCATCATTGAAGCAGAACAAAGTAATAGTGTAAAAAATGCGGTTATATTTCCACAGTTTCAGTAAACACACCATTCGATCCAGCATACGGTTATGGCTATCCACCTCCTCATTGATATCACCCGACAACTGTTGCAATCACACCCACTAAAGATTAATTCGTGCTAATTGTTTTAAATCATCATACAACTGCCTACTACAGCTGTATGAAATACAATCCTAAACACTTGTAGATGTTTAGAGAAAAGGTTTAAAGATCAAATAAATCTTATAATATTGAACAAACTTAACAGCACCTGTAATATAATTAGAGAATAACAGATTATAAACCCACTCTGGTCAACACTGAAGATCACAAAGGTGAACCAGAATTAAAATAAATTTACAAAAGAGTAGGGAGGCAACTTGGCAAACAAATTTTTCACTTTTAAAGGCCACAAAGTTACATTTCCCCTTTCAGTACATATATAAATAGACTTTCACCCACCAATAGATGAAATATTGAAAATCGTGAAATGGTTAAAATACCATTAGCAAAATGATAAAATGAGTACAAGGCACATCAATCATTTCTATATATAAAAATAACTAAATGATGTCTAGGGTATGTTGATATCAATGATAAACTTACTCTTTTCAGCAGTTTGACCCTGTCTTGCAATCCATCCAATGCCTGCTCATTATCGTGTTCATCAATTTCATGAGAGGAGGAATAAACAGATTGTGCTCGGATGCCACCCTCCTCGATACCATCAAAAAGGGAAACTCTATTGTTACGGTTCTCTCTAAAACATAACAAGCACAAGCCACCAAATGATCACATGACAAACACAAACAGGACAAAATTCCCTTTTACATAGTTAAACTGACTAAAAAAAAGTAGAGTCATAAGATATGAGACTCTCCAAATTTAAAAAAATATCAAGAGTAGTGAAAAAAAAGTAAATAGAAAAAATTGCCTCTCGGTCTCGGCCTATTAATAAAAACAGCATGATATTTTCCAAAGCATTAGGTTAAATTTTGTACACTGTGGTCATACTGCCCTCAGCTTGACTTAGTCTTTATAAACATAGAGATACCGTATCGATGTTTTATGCTGTCATACTGATAGTGGATAAAAATTACGCACTTCCAAGTATCATAAACAGATACTGAAAATAATTCACTAAAAACTGATCAACTAGAGGTTCACTATGTTTAACACATGTTATAAAACAGAAAACAAGAAACTGATACAGTTAGACTGGATCTCATGTACAGGAGTTTATTAAAAGCAGCATATGCTAAAATTGTCAAATAGTTAAACAAAAATAGAAAAACTAAGGCAAAATTCTCAATGTACAGGAAGTAAAGTTCACACCTCATCTGTACAGAAAGAGATTGGTAGGAGGGAGAAATTTTATAACTAAGCAAGAAAACAAAAGCTGGGTGAATTTTTATAGCATGCTACTGTCATATTGCATATATTGACAACTAAGACTGCATTGAAGAAGAGAGCCATGAACTATAACTTAAACTAGGAAGAGAGATTTAAGATAAATAGTAGTTCTTCTCGTCAAGTTGACAGTAAGAGTCACTTGGATATAAGGGCCAAGAAGCAGTTCACCAAAAATCATTCCTGGTTTTAGACTAAAGATCAATGAGATCTTTAAAAACAATTCATAATGCATATGCAAAAAATGCATCAGTTAACATATATTGTACAAAACGATCAGTTGTATTCTTCGAGCATATGAAGCATGCTATCCAAAGACGGGGGACAGGGAGATATCTGAATGCAATTTCACATGCTAACATAACATTTTACCTAATGCTCAAGTCAACTAATTGACCATACATATAACTAGACTCAACTTTGCTGGAGATAGTGAATAAATATTATATGCTTTTCATTATGATTGCAATTTTGCATGCTCATATTCAACCTAAGATTCAAGTCACACCAATTGACAATATTGAGAAAACAGGGAATAGTAAAGTCGCATTTGAGGCCTTGAAAGTAAAAAATATTTTGGATAAATAGTCAATTTAGCCCTTCAAGTGTAATTTACTGCCACTCAGGTCTCTGAAAGAAATTAAATTCAAAAATAGTTCCTTAAAAATATCATTTGTCTGTTATTTTGCCATTAGAAAACACCCTACATGGCCCACTTACTATCAGTTTGGTCCCTTTACTAAACCTCTAGTGTCATTTTAGTTTCTGAACCTAACCACTTATTATATTTTAATTCTGAAAGCACTTTTGAATTTTCATTTAAGTTTCACTAAAATGACAGTACTTGATTAAGTTTAGATACTAAAATTATAATAAGTGGTTAAGTTCGAAAATTAAAATGACAAGTGACTAAATTTAGGGAATAAAATGATAGTAAGTAGTTAAGTTCAAGAACCAAAATTACAATGTCTTAGTAGGAAGATTTATAACTGTAAGACTAATGTGACAGATCAAGTACAACTTTAGAGGCTTTTTTTATTTAATTTTCATACTTTTAGGGACCACTGTGACACTAAATTACACTTTCAAGGACTAAAGAGATTGATTATCCAAAATATTTCCTATGCATTTATGGTTAAGTAAATTTTCCTCACCTGTATTTAGGTGGGTGTTGGAATTTGGAATTTTACCCCTATAAATAACAACTCATTGAATGAGTTTCATCATCTCATAACAGTTGTAGCAATCACATCCATGAGAGGAAAATACATAGTTCTCAATGTATTTCTTTTATTGTAAAAGAGTGTGTAATTGTTCTCTCCTGATACGTAGAGAGGGGTCGTAATTTTTCTTCTACTTCATGAAAATATTTCTTTGATTTTGCCGGTGGTTTTTACCTTATCTTTTGGGATGACGATAAAATATTACGTCTCAATTCCTAATTATCTCAACTTCAAATTTAGCATGGAGATATTATTTTGTAACGGGGTACCTAACACATACATGTAATTAATCAATTTGAGAGTTGAAACCAATCAAATAAAATATTCTCCTTCAGACAACACTCCTCGTATCCGATTCAGGAGTGTACATGCCACCCATAAGTCATAACACAAGTCTCAGAACAAGAGGCGCAACACTATATCTATGCTTCACCAGTCCAGCTAATTCCTGCCACTGTTCCACACAATTTCACTCCTATTGAGCTAATATAACATGTACGACAAATCCGAACCCCATTAAAATAAAATCGCAGCTCCAAAACTGCGATTATTAAGCAAGTCTTCATCAGATTTAAATCCAAATCGTATTACCACCGTATCCGTGGATCCGAATAAACAAAGCAAGAATTGCCTAGCCTAGCAAACACAAACGAATTAAACAACTATCATCGCGACACAACGAAGCTTCCTGAGAGAACAAATTTCAAAGTCTGATTCAAACCAGTGAACTGTACTAACCGTCTAGCATTCATGGCTGGCGAGATCGTCCAATCTCTGTTTCCAGTAACAAAATTAACGCAATTAATTAACCGATAATTCTCATACGGACATAAAAAGAAGCGAAGAAAATGCACAAAATAAAAACAATCAGATCCGGAGGAATCTCAGAAAGTTGCGAGCGAACCTGAGGATAGGAAGCGGGAAATTTGATGGTCCTCGGCAACTGAGCAGAGGTGAACCCAAAAGAGACGAGAAAGAGGAAGAGATCGACGGTGAGGTTTATATACTGTCCGAGTATGCCAATGCCTGACTACTAGTGTTTGTCATACTTGTTTAATAACAGCCCTCAATCAAAGAATGTTTAATTTAGAAAAAATAGAATAAACAGTGTTTAAATTTGATTAAAAATATACTAATAATATAATAATAATGAAATATTTACTTCACTATGGAGCAAGCTACTCTAAGATGCAAATTAGAAAATAAAGCTGCTCCTTTTATGTTCTAAATTATTTAAACGAAATTTAAATATTTACCTCCTAAAATGCCGGCTGCATTTCAGAGGAATTGGTTCAATTAATTTTATAAAATAAAAAATATATATGAATAAATCTTACTTTTTTTTCCACTTTATCTTCTGTCTTTTTAATTCACCAAAAGCTAAACAATGCACAAAATAGAAGGAAATTCTTGTGGATAAAATAAAAAAAAAAGAATAGAATAATTTAATAAAATATTCGTAAATAAAATAAACAGGTAAAGAAAAAAAAATTATATCGATGAGTGGAGAGAAATAATATAAGCCACCCTGATGCTTTGAGCTTAAACTATTTTTTAAGATAAGTTTATTTGAGTTTGAGGTTTTTATTTTTTAAATAAAATGTCAATTTCAAGGGTTTAGAAAAGTAGGGTAAACTATGATTTTAAACTTTAATGTCTTATAAGGGTTTATGTCTAAGAGTTATATTAATAATTTATTTCATAATATAAATATTTGAAAGAATTTATGAAAATAGATTATGAGATTCATGAGTTGTTTTTAACTTGTTTAATAATTTATGTAACTGTCTCACTATTTATATGAATAATTTTATTTTTTACCACTCTAAAAACAAATTATACGTCAGTACATTACTGTATAAAAAATAACAAATATTTGTTCAATAAAACCTTAAGTTACGTACATAAATAAACTTATGTACTCGAAACTGAATAAGGTATAAATATTTTATAACTATCTTTTTGAGTTAAAATGTTTTCTTTATTTCAGGTTAGGGCATTATCACCTTCTTCCAAAATTTCAAAAAATTAAAGTTGACATTTTTATATAAAAAAATGATTTTTTAGGTATTTTAGGGAATTGTAATACTATATATTTATAAATATTTTATATTCAATAGAAAACAAATTAATTTTATTAGTAGAGACGAAAGATTCCCAACAACAACAAAAAAATAATTTAGCACTTTATGTTATGGTATTCGTTTTCACGAGCAAACAGCGAGAAGAAGAAACGCTATTGAAAACTAGGAGCGGCTAATTACGGTGGTATTTGATTCACTGGTGTGCTGCGGAAGGTAGAGGAGCTGTCTCTGAGTGAAGACGACCTTTGTTATGATGGTTATGGATTCGTCAAACGACGTCGCTTTGGTTTCTGAGGAGATGGAGAAGTTCCTCTGCGAGTTGTTGCTGGATTCCTCCCAGCCAATATCTGAGCGCTTCAGAGCACTCTTCTCTCTCCGCAACCTCAAAGGCCGCGCCCCTCGCGAGGCCCTTATTCTTGGTTCGTTTCTCCCTCCTTCACAACCCTAAGTAGATTCTTTCTTTTTAATTCCATAGTTGAACTCGTTTTATGAACGTGATTTGATTTCTGCTGCTTCATTTGTTCCATTAGTATGTTGAAGTGTAATAAACTTTGTACGTTGTTTTATGTAATTTTATCATTCTCCTTACCATCGCAGCCACAAGGGATTCATCGAATTTGTTGGCGCACGAAGCTGCATTTGCGTTGGGTCAAATGCAGGAATCGGAAGCAATCCCTGCTTTGGCTTCAGTTCTGAATGATCTCTCTTTGCATCCCATTGTTCGCCATGAGGTGCCCTTTTTCCTGTTTTTTACTTTGCGTCTTGTATTTTTTTTTTCTTTGCTGCTCTGCTCTTCATTCATGTTTTTTACATTTTGAAATGATCGAGTTTGTTATAATTGCATAGGCAGCTGAGGCACTAGGTGCTATTGGTTTAGATGATAATGTTCCTCTCCTGAAGAATAGTTTGGATAAGGATCCCGCCGAGGAGGTTCGAGAAACGTGTGAGTTGGCTCTTCAACGAATTCAGCATTTGAAAGATGCTGGTAATATTGATGAATTGGCTGCAACTGAAATATCGCCTTTTAAGTCTGTTGATCCAGCCGCGCCAGCAACCTCTTGTACTTCTGTTCCACAACTGAGGTTTGTTCGGTTCATTCATGTTATATTAGAAAGAAAGTTATGTTGACGGAGTAATAGTAGGTTGCTAACTTGTATTTATCAATACCAGGCAAGTACTTCTTGATGAAGAAAAAGGGATGCATGAGCGCTATGCAGCACTTTTTGCACTTCGCAATGATGGTGGAAATGAAGCTGTTTCTGGTATTATTGATTCCTTGGGCTCGAAAAGTGCTCTACTGCGCCATGAGGTTTGATAAGCACAGTCTTATTGCTATAAGATTTATCCATATTATATGGTTTGTATGAATAGTTTGGAAGTTATGTACTATACATGATGATATATCAGTTGCGTTAGAGCTGCACGGTGATATGCTACTGCTTGCCTTTTTTATGAAACATATGTATTCGATATTTCATTTATACTTTACCTGTGGAACTATTCTTTGTATTCTTTAGAATGGCAAAAACATGAAATTGTCATCGTAAAAGTAGCCAGTTGTTCTTGAGTATAAAAATGTTATTCAAATATTTTTTATAATAATGTTAGATGGATAATGTGATTTTGATTTTCTACACCTGTTTGAATCTCAATTTTTTTTATTCTTTCTGTAATGGTTAGGTTGCATATGTTTTGGGTCAATTGCAAGACAAAGCTGCTTCTGCTGCTTTATCCAATATACTTAAAGATGTAAATGAGCACCCAATGGTTAGACATGAGGCTGCTGAAGCTCTTGGTTCAATTGCAGGTATTTCGGCCAAAAATTGAATTGCATGATCCCTTTTACTCAAAGTTATGTATTGTTAAAGGAGTGTGTCTTTTGTGATGCCATGAGTGCAAAAAAGGAGAAATGCAATTGTATCATAGAACTAAATGGAATTCTTAAGTGAATATTAAGATATATTTGATAAATTTCTCCCGTTACACAGTATAAAAAAAGAAAATAGGAAAGAAAAATGAAGAAAAGATCTCTATAGGCTAAAAGTAGTTTCTGCATAAATTAATTTATAGAGACGCTCTCATATAACTTCTCTAAAAGATTATTTGACTTAGATGTAAGTTATTTTAGCTTACAGGAAAACTACTTTTATTTTTTCTTCTTATTATTTTCCTCTATAAATACATGGAAAATAGTTTATCCAAACAAATCCCGAGAATGAAAAATTTAATAGTAGCAGTCAAAGACTCTCAAGTAATTTTCCTTTTCGGTAATAAGCTGTCCAAGCAAACTTTGATTGCGGCTCTACTTTTTCTAGTCATTATCTGTTGGTGTGATGGTTGAGACAGGTTCTGGTCAAAAGTTTGCTCATTTACACCTAGTTCACATAATAAATAAAGAAAATGGTGTGTTTTGGTAATGAACCTATCAAGAAAAGAGTCTGAATTTTTTACTCACTATTCACTAAAATATCATGGAAAATGCTTGTTGAAGGAGATATTTTTAGAGGATCATCGTACTTTCAGTAAAAATCAATCTTTCAGTTTGGGAGGTAAAATAAATTCTCCCCATAACGCTTCTATTCGTCCTTCAGATTGAGATGTCATATCATTTATCACCATTTCCCATCTATTTATCTTTCAGATTGAGACGTCAAATCTTTTCAGACCATGATCCTTCTATTTGTCTTCCAGATTGAGGTTTAAGTTTTTTTCTCAAGTAACCATTCTTTTCATCTTTGAATATTAATATATGATAGGATATTTTCCTGTTAACGATTGTGATATTAATATCTGAGTTTGTGGTGGCAACCTGCTGAAAGTATGAATATACAATTAACCATTATACAATGAGTAAGTGAAAACCAATGTTTAATAACTTTAAATACATAACATGTAAAGAAAACCTCTTGCAGTATCAGCTATGCTATTGATCCTCACCCCCATGATTCAGATAGTATATGCTCCACAAATCTTATGTCTATAACATATGCCAAGGTTCAGTTCATTTACAGAGTTCTTTTGATAATATTTCTTTATCTCCTGGTCTTCAATTTTCGGTTGTGTTCTACTGAGCCACTTAACGAATTGCGCTTAACCATTTATTGCATTGCTCCAGTGCGAACTTCAAAACAGTTAATATCTTCATTTACATTGTGAATTGTTTACATCGTTGTTTTATCGTGTGGCTTAGATGATCAAAGTGTAGCCCTTCTTGAGGAGTTTACGGCAGATCCAGAACCTCTTGTCTCACAAAGTTGTCAAGTTGCTCTAAGCATGCTAGAATTTGAAAGATCAGGGAAATCATTCGAGGTATACACCATACTAGTTATTGAATATTTGCATATTTTGCATCGATGTTTGTTGACTCGGCCATCCTTTTCTCTTGGTTGCAGTTCCTGTTCATGCGCACTCCAACTGTGCATTAAACGATTTCTCATAGTAATGCCAAGACATGTAGAAGGAGCAGATGCATGAGAATGAAGGAACACAAAGTTACAAAGAAATAGAGAGAAATTGTTGAATTTCTTACTCACAATTAATGAAATTAAGAAAACATTAGTCTTGTATAAACATGAATAGTATGGTTTTGTTAATTTATGAAAAAAAAAAAAAAGATATTTTATGAAGAAGTACAAGCCTATAACTGTTGTTCTACATAATGTCATTCTATTTTATAGCTTTGCCATCTCAGGATAATTCCTGTCAACATTATTAACTGTTAAAATATTGGAAAACTCTCGATACTTACTTGATAACTGTCTAATGGTTATAAGGCAACCCTATTCGGAAATTAATGTCTTCTACTCGTGAGCATCAAATCGACGCTAATGATTATTAACAAAAAAAAAAATTAGGATAAATAAACCGATGCAATGTGCTGTATAGGGTTCTCGTTTACGTGGTGATGACATTGGTTTGATTTAAGGTTCCGCACCATGCATACATTATTATTACCAAACTAACATGTGGAACGCACTCCCCATTTTATCACACAACCCTTTCAAAACCATCACCCTTATCTCTTGCGCCAACTTTCTCTCTTTGGTTCAGCAAATTCACGCCCATGTCATCATCAATGGGCTTCACAGGGAGGTTTTCTATGGTTCCAACATCACCAACGCTTATGTCCAATCGGGTTCTCTTTCACTTGCCACAAAAGCCTTTTATCAGATCATTGGAAAAAATGTTCACTCTTGGAACACCATCATCTCTGGTTACTCAAAAGGAAGTCTCTACGATGATGTTTTGCAGCTTTTTCGACACTTGCGAAGTGACGGCAATGCAATCGATAGCTTCAACTTGGTGTTTGCCATTAAAGCGAGTCAAAGGTTGATACTTTTGCATAATGGGAGATTGCTTCATTGCTTGACCATCAAATCTGGGTTGGAAGGAGACCTGTTTATCGTGCCAGCTCTTTTGGAGATGTATGCTGAGTTGGGTTCTCTGAATGATGCCCACAAGCTGTTTGAACGATATTCTTACAGAAGTTCCGTCATGTGGGGTTTTATGATAAAGGGGTATTTGAAAGTTTCACAAGAATCCCAAGTTTTTGAGCTACTCTCTTATATGACTAACTATTTTGGTTTCCAATGGGATGCTTTCACTATGGAAGGCTTAGTTCGAGCCTGTGCAAACGTCTTGGCTGGAAGAGAAGGGAAAGCATCTCATGGTGTGTGTATAAAGAGCAATCTTTTGGTGAATGTCTGCTTGCTGACATCTGTTATAGATATGTATATGAAATGTGGCTTTACTCATTATGCATTTAGGATGTTCGAAAAAGCTAATGATCATAAGGATGTGGTTCTATGGAGTGCTGTAATCAATGGGTGTGCCAAAAAAGGGAAATTTTGTGAAGCTTTGTCCGTGTTCAAAAGGATGCTTCAAAAGTCAACTACCCCAAATCCGGTGACATTGTCTAGCGTGATTCTTGCTTGCTCTGGTGTGGGGTCTTTGAAACAAGGAAAAAGTGTGCACGGCTTTGTGATTAGAAATATGGTTGAATTGGATGTGGTGAATTATACCTCTCTTATGGACATGTATTCCAAATGCGGGTGTGTCAAAACTGCTTACAGAGTCTTCTGTATGATCCCGGTAAAAAATGTAGTCTCTTGGACTGCAATGATAAATGGATACGCAATGCATGGCTTGTATTTGGAAACCCTTTCCATTTTTTATCAAATGACACAGAATGCATCTGTTATAACAGGAAAACAGGTGCCCAACTCAATTACATTTACCTCAGTTCTGTCAGTTTGCAGTCACTCAGGAATGGTTCAGGAGGGGTTGAGGATCTTTAATTCTATGAAAGATTATGGTATTTCTCCAACTGAGGAACACTGTGCCTATATAATAGGTATTTTAGCTAGAGCTGGTCAATTTGATGCAGCATTATCCTTTCTATCAGACATGCCCGTAAAACCTGGTCTGAATGCCTGGGGAACTTTGTTAAGTGCATGTAGATTCCATAAACGTGTTGAACTTGCTGAAGAAATAGCAAAGACGCTTTCACTTTTAGAGCCTAATGATTTCTCCTGCCAAGCTTCACTGTCAAACATGTATGCTGATGGGATAGGAAAGATGATAATGGCTGAAGAGGGGCTGAATAAGAGTCTTGGCTTTTCCTCAATTGAAGTCGGGAATAAGTTATGTGTATTTAGCTCAAATGATACACTTGCGTTCACAAGCACAGATATCAGTCATACTTGGAATTCTCTCAGTAGGGAAATGAGAGAAAATGCCTTGTTATGATTAATCTTGGAGAGAAACACACCAAAATTCTGTAGCCTTACATGTTGATTGTAAAAGAGTGGAGATTTTGGGATTCTTAAGAGTTTGTTTTAGGATTCAACATACTGAAATTGGGTAATGCAACAAAAGTTCCTGTTTAATCTACCTCTCTTAGGAGTAAAATTAGTATGACTAGATGATTGATCTCAATTATATGCCAATAGGAAGTTACCAGTGGGTAATATTTCTTTAAGCTTATGCGGTAAAATTAAATTGTAAAAGCCTGGTTGACTTGTACTTAAGTAACTTTGTACATTACTATATTTGAGACTCTCATCCTCACCTGGAAGGATCCCGAAAGGAAAAAAAAAAAAAAACTCTCGTCATCATCAACAACATTTTCTTGACAACCTAATCCTGTGGAGTGATAATTGATGTTATATCTATCCCCTTTAAAATGCCACCAAGTTTTAATTTACAATAACATATTTAATTAACTTTGCATATTTCTAAAAGAAATTGTTTACAAAAATTATTTCTAAATAAAAATATTATATATATAATTCACATTAAAATAACTTCTTTTTAAAGTATTTTTTGCTAATAATTCATTTTGAAGATGGTCTTAAATTTTTAACAGGATGAATTAGTAACTTGGTTTTGTTTATTATAAAAATTATTGAGTTATAAGACATGAATTGGACGTTTCTGCCGCAGCATTATTATATTATTTTATATTACAGATATGAAGAACAAATTGTGCATATTACATAGTACACTTTTTTTTTTCACTTTGACATACCCAATTTCAGAATAAAAATAATAAAGTAAAAGAAAAGGCCTATAAATTACAAGCTAAAAAAGGGAGGGAAGAGTTGCAGTGAGGAGTGAGAGTGAGAGAATGTCGAACCCTCAAAATCAGAAACCATGGAAGGCGGAATACGCGAAGTCGGGGCGATCGTCATGCAGGACGTGCAAGAGCCCCATTGCCAGCGAAACGCTGCGTCTCGGCAAGATGGTCCAATCCTCCAAGTTCGATGGCTTCATGCCGGTAATATATTTATTATCACGCTGTTTTTTTTCTTCCTTTCTTTTTTCTTTTCCTTTCAATATTTCTCACCTTCCGTCAATGTAAAGTACCTGTTAGGCATGCTATTACATTTCGTTTCACTCATTTCTTATGTTTCTTGCATGTAAAGATGAACCATAGGGTTTGCCATAAACTCTATTATAATGTAGTAAACACTGCGACTTATTTTACTTTTCTTGTACTTTCACGTGATTTTTTTTTTTTTTAAGTTACATGCATGTGTATGGCGTTTTAATCTGTATTTTATTTTTTATCAGATGTGGAATCATGCTGCTTGCATCTTGAAGAAAGCTAATCAGATAAAATTGTACGGAAATTTCTACTCTTTTCGCTAAATGTTTTTTTTTACGGTTTGACATTGGCAAGAGTTTATTGTCGTGTGCTACTGTTTACCTGTAGAGTTGAAGATGTTGAAAACTTGGAGTCGCTTCGTTGGGAAGACCAGCAGAATATCAGAAAATACATAGAGAGTGGCAGTGGGAGTGGCGGCAGCAGTAGCAGTGCCACAAAGTCAGGCTCAAAAGCTGTCAAAGATACTGAATGTGGTATTGAAGTTTCACAAACTTCTCGTGCTACTTGCAGGGATTGCAGTCAAAAAATTATCAAAGGAGAGGTGGGTTTTATTGTTGCTCTCATGTTCCAAAGGCTATCTAACTTATTAGATTGGACCTGATAGATTTTGTGCTCTGGAAAGGAGATCATGAGCGAAAATATGTTCATAATCTAAAGATGGAAAATATTATGATTTTGGATTTTAATTTATCATAAACTAACTTATGGAAAATACATATTTGGCTTTTAGTAATAGCTGGACAATGTTGCTGATATAAGGGATGGAACTGTAAGATGTATAGTTTTTATTTTTACTTCGAACTTCTAGCATGTCATGGTTGAACTTGATTCCCAACATTGTTGCAGGGCAGCTAAACTGCTTGCATTTAGTATTTTTTAACTAGGTGGTGTATTACTACTATTCAATAATGTGTTGAATCTTGTAACCAATCCTGGTGCATTGTATTAAAATTTTTATGCTTTCTGATTGGATTCTCCATCTTGACTCTAGAGAATCTTGCTGTATGATCAAAATTGTTTTGAATTTGTTGGTTCATGACAAGGTACCAGAGCCTCTATGGCCAAGTGGTCTCTAGGTTAGTCCTTGCTGTCACCATTCTTCCAATAAATAGTTGAACTTTCAGCACAAGGTTTGTTAACCTATGCCCAAAGTGATGTATTGTAATACCATTCATGAGCTTTAACAGCTAAGCTTTTCGGATAGCTGGTTCATGGCAACAAGAACAGCAACAGAGTTCTTAAGTTTCTGGGAATTATTTGTATATTAAAGTTTTGGTAGCATGAGGAAGAGCATAAAGGCTACCTGGCTTTTTGCGGGTGGTGACTTGGTGTTGGAGACATGGAGTGCATATAGGCACATCCTCCTTAGCTTTTGCACTTTTACGAAATCCATTACTCTTCAATATTTTAATGCCTGTAGAAATAAAAGCCTTCTGGTCTCTTGTATGCATTATGTCTTACTAGTTAAATAGATGGGCCATGGTGGGAGGTGCTAATTGGGGGCCTAAGTCCCTCCTAAATTCTGGCCACCGCAATCGTGTTGAATTTTGAATCTTGAATCCAGTCAATTTTCCGACCTCTCCTTTAACAATGGAGTCCTTGACAGGTTAAAAATTCTGGGAGTGTTCATATTAAACCACTTATGTCATAAATCATAATTTCATTTAGGATTGCATGATATCTGCACAAGTGATATTAGCAACACATTTATTCATGCTTGCTAGACTTCATTCGTCCATTTTAAGATTTGAAAATTGATTGCCATGCATTCTGAGACAACTAAGATCATTTTTATCCTGATGTATAATAGAATGCAGAATTTTCCTTAATCATTTATAAACCACAGTCATATACATATTGATTCATACTCATACGTTACTGATGTTGTAATTTGTCTCTTCGCTGGCTGTTTCTTATTTGATTTTTAGGTTCGTATATCTACAAAGCCTGATGGTCAAGGTGCTAAAGGTTTGGCTTGGCACCATGCCAAGTGTCTCCTGGAATTATTGCCATCAATTCAAGTGGATAAGTTATCAGGATGGAATAGTCTCTCATCTTCTGATCAATCAGCTGTCAGTGACTTTGCTAAGATGTGTCATCCCATGAACAAGGGGGGTATGGTGATTGATATGTTTAATAAAGTCTCGTTTCTTATTTCCATAGTGGTTGAATCTCTTTATTTTCATTGTAGTTACTTGCTTACCAGATTCCTTTCAGGTGGTAGTGGTACAACCATTCAGACTGAAAAGGGTGAAGAATCCACAAAACAGCACACTTCCAAAGGTGGTATAAAGCGGGGGAAAGATGTTGATAGTGAGCGCAAATCAAAAGTTGCTAAGGCCAAGGGAGACGTGTCTGCAAGCAGTGCAGTGTCAGTGAAGGATTATAGTGAATCAGGGGAAGCATGTGATCTAGAGAAGAAGATGGAGACCCAGAGCAAAGAACTCTGGGCTCTGAAGGATGATCTCAAAAATCATGTGACAACAACTGAGTTGCGTGTAATGCTGGAAGCTAATGATCAAGATTCAACAGGATCAGAACTTGATTTACGTGACCGTTGGTAATTTATTCTCAGGCAGTTTTTTGCCCCAAATGTTTAAGAAGTGTTTCCCTCATTTAATATGTTATACTCCCTTTCTTTTAAGTTATAAGTTGTCAATATTGATAAAAGATTAGGTTTGTTTGTTAGGTGTCCCCTAATATGCATGCTCAGTTGTATTGAGCTTTTATATAATTTGTAATGGATAAAACATTATTTATTCATCAAAAGGGAAAACCTATAAATGCATGCAAGTGTAGCACATACATTATTTGTTGGATGGGAAATGATAGATTATCTGGATTTGTCCTGTTTTCTGATTTCTTTGTAATGTATTTTGAAAATATCCTTCAAAATATGTTTAATTCCCCTCACTCTAATTATTACAATTGTTGTTTTAATTTTAGTGCTGATGCAATGATGTTTGGAGCACTTGGTCTTTGCCCAATATGTTCCAGCTTTCTGCGTTACACTGGAGGAATGTACCGTTGCACTGGATATGTTTCTGAGTGGAGTAAATGTTCTTACTCTACCTGCGAACCAAGACGAATTGAAGCGAAGTGGAAAATCCCAGGAGAAACAAATAATCAGTACCTTAAAAAGGTTTGTCAAGAAAAAGTTGTCATAAAAGCAAAGAGCAATAAATTGTGACTAAAGTTTTTGCTTACTCTTTACAGTGGTTCAAGTCTCAAAAAGGGAAGAAACCAGTTAGGATATTGCCTCTTCAATCACCAAGGAAATCTGCTGAAAGTGAAATTACTGCTACTCAACATCAATCATCGAACAGTGAAAATTTTCAAGATATGAAAGTTGCTATCTGTGGATTAGCTAATGACTCTATTGTATTACTTCCTTCTATTTTCCCTTTAACATCTATTTTTTAGCACCCAATAAATAAAGTCCACCCCACGGTTCCTCATAAACATTCTGAGAAACAATCATATTGATTTGGTTTTCCAGTATTTAGTACTTATCTTTTATGAGGTGATTTTACAGGAAGAATGGAAACACAAGATTGATGGCATAGGTGGAATGTTTCATGCAAAAGTAAAGAAAGGTATCTTCTGCAGAGAACAATTGTGAAAATTAAAATTTCCAAGATAATTTTCTGCCTCTTGAGTGCAATTTTTGTAATCTTTCATGCGATTTGTTTATTTGCAGATACTAACTGCTTGGTGGTTGGTGGAGCACTCAAAGATGAAGCTGAGATGCGGAAGGCAAGGTATGTTGCACTCAAGTTGTCAATATCAACCATTTCTTTTATTTGACTAATTCTAATATCACTGACTTGGAAGAGTTTTGATATATAGGAGGATGAAAATACCAATAGTCAGAGAGGACTACTTGATTGACTGCATACAAAGAAAGAAGAGACTTCCATTTGATATGTACAAGGTTGAAATGATTGGTGAGGCTTCTAGCATGGTCACCATTAAAGTGAAGGGGCAAAGTGCTGTTCATGAGGCTTCTGGCCTGCAGGATTCCTGCCACATACTTGAGGAAGGAAAAAGCATATATAACACAACTTTGAATATGTCTGATTTGTCTACTGGTATTAACAGGTGGGTTCATTATGCTTTAGGTTTCTTGTTCAACCTCAGCATAAATTTTTTTAGTTGGCAAACCAGGAAATAGCAGTTTGTTTTCTATGCATTAATGAATAAAATTGAACCTAAAAGCGTACTTGTAGATTTTATTTTGCCACACTATATATGGTACAAAAGATCATCAAGCTGTCTACTGTTGAACTGATATGTCATTTATTCTTCTTGAGAAGGTGACTGGCATCCCCAGCTAGGACACTGATTGAGACTATAATATTATTTCAAAACTGCCTATAATCTACTGATCATATTCTTACTCCTAAAATTTCTTATTAAAGTGGAACTATAAATCTAGTATTGTTTTAACTGAGAGGAGTTATTTACTTAGTAAATTAACATTGTATATCATGAATTTTGTTAATGTTTTCTGCAAAATTATATTTTGTGGGTCATTAATTGGCTTATATAGGCTTGATCCGGTAATGTCGTAGCATTTGACTTTTTTGGATAGGAACAATTGCAAGTATTTTTGATGAAATTATTGTGATAGTGATTCCTCAAGTGCTTTTGAAAAGCCATGATTTCTTGTTAGAAACAACTTATAGGAAGTTTTTCAAATTTTATGGAGTCTATTTTACAAATTTAGATACCTAACTTTTGTCATCCGTTGTTCCAAGTAAGTTTCTATAGCAGCTTTTCTCAGGACCTTCATCACGGTAGCTATTGAAAAGGCACAACACAATATGGTCTGTCTGGAAAATATGTATTGTGCACAGTTGTATCTGTTGGCTGATAAATTTGTATTCTGCCCACTATTTATGGTTCAAATACTTTAGTACAGTTGTATCTGTTGGCTGATAAATTTGTGTTTTGCACACTATTTATGGTTCAAATACTTTAGTACTGGTTTTATTCCCAATAAAAAGACTGCCTAGTATTGATGTTCCAAAACATACTTTTATTTTTTGGGATTAGCCTGGAAAGTGATTTTGTTTGACTTGGAGCCTTTTTTTGGTATATACTCAGACATTTTTTAAATTGTGAGTTTTTTCTAGACTTGGTGAATTCTCCGCATCACTGCCTTTCCTAAGATTGATATTTGGCTGTTATATCCTCTCCCACCTACACCCCCTCTTCCCCCACAAATGCCTGTCTCCACAATTGCTGTCCTAACTTTTTTTTTTTCTTCCCGTGTAAAGCTACTACATTCTCCAGATAATTCAAGAAGATAAGGGTTCAGATTGCTATGTGTTTCGGAAATGGGGCCGAGTAGGAAATGACAAGATTGGAGGAAATAAACTTGATGAAATGCCAAAATCTGATGCAATCCGTGAATTCAAACGATTATTCTATGAGAAAACTGGAAACCCTTGGGAGGCGTGGGAACAAAAGACTATTCAGAAACAACCTGGGAGATTTTTCCCATTGGATATTGTACTTGTTCTTTCTTACTCTTTAATTATTTGTTTAATGTACATATGTAATAATGTTTCACTAGTCAGGTGGATACCCAATTCATGGTTTTTATGCTGGACTTGTAGGATTATGGAGTTAACAAGCAGGTCTCAAAAAAGAAAAGGAATGATAATGACAGCAAACTACCCCCTCCATTAATAGAATTGATTAAAATGTTATTCAATGTGGAAACATACAGGTTATAGTTAAATACCCCTTCATTTTATTAGAATTTTATGATGCAATACTGAATCTTTAGTTTTGTAGAGCTGCCATGATGGAGTTTGAGATTAATATGTCTGAAATGCCACTTGGTAAACTGAGCAAAAGCAATATCCAAAAGGGTATGTTGATACATTACGTTTTATGAGCTATGGTATTTACCTGTTTCCTTTGATTGATTACATCATGCAATCCCATAGTCATTATCATTGTTTGATTTTATGTTGGTATGCTTCGGCTTCCCAGGGTTTGAAGTATTGTCAGAGATACAAAATCTGTTAAAAAATAGCAATCCTGATTCATCAGTAAAGGAAAGCTTACTTATTAATGCCAGCAACCGGTTCTTCACCATGATCCCTTCTATTCATCCACATATTATTAGGGATGAGGGTGATTTTAAGTCCAAGGTGGTACCATTTTTCATTCATTTTTCAGTTTGGGGTTTGGTAATGGAACATGAAATCAGATTCTTTTATTTTGTTTGTTATCTACTTCCTACCGTGACTCACAAAAGTTAGTTTCTTTTTTTGGTCCTGTTTAAAACTCAAATATTGAAATAATTTTTTATTTGAATTTTGAATACAATATTAGGGACTTTATACTTTATGAATTGATTTTTAGTTTTGTTGTCTTGAAATTTGACCTTGGGTGTTTAATCTCTAATAGTGTGTTTGGTTGGGGAATTTTTAGAGGTTAATTCAGTTTTATAGAGAAAAAAATATGTTATTTGGATAGGGAGCTTTAAAAGACATTGAAATTCTAAGAATTTATGAGAGCAACTTCATTTATTAAAATTAGAGAATTTCAAATTTCTCCTATAAAGTAAGAATTTGAAATTCTTCTCTTCATATTCTCTCTTAGACACAGCCTTGGTTGGGATATTGTTGGGTCAATTTTGGTCAGGATGCCATCAGCTTTGGGTTGTGTTAGTCAAAGTTTTCTTTGTCAATGTCAGTGGTGGTTTTAAATTGATGTCAAATATGGTTTTTTCGGTTGATGTCAATTGGGATTATTTTCAATTGATGTAAGTCAAGGTTGTTTTTCAACCAATGTCAATTAGAACGTAGGTCAAGGTTATTTCTTGATCATTGTCAATGAAGGTTTTCTCGACCAACATTGATAGGGGTATTTCTTGGTTGATGTCAGACAAGAGTTTTTATCGACATCAATGAGACTGCTTTTTCATTGATGTAAGTCAGGGTTTTCAGTCAACGTTGATAAAAATTATTTTTGGTTGATGTTGATGTGAGTATTTATCCACCAAGGCCAAGGCTATATCTCAGTTAATATTTGTCAAATTTCTTTTTTTCCTATCTCTATAGATATGACTATTTTCCGGTGGATGTAAGGCAATTTTTTTTGGTTGAAGCCTACAGTGGTTATTTTTTTTGTCTATGTTTAGGGGGATTTTTTTATCAACATCACAATGTTATTTAGTGGTAAATTTTGTATTTTGTGGTAATTGAAATAGTCTAAGAAATTTAAAATTCAATAAACTTGAATTATATATCCAAATAAAACATTTGAAAATTTAAACAATTTGCAATGAAAGTAATTCAAAGTCTATACATATAAATTTTCTGGATATTGTAAAATTTTCTATCAAAAACGCAAAGGAAAGGTTTACACCATTCCAACAGTTAATGCTAGACATATGAAATTTTCCGTTTTTTCTTTGCTTCAATAGTGTTCAAGGAATATCAAATATATGATTGTTGTAAATATTATCTAATTCTATCAGGATTGTAGCTGATGACTTTTGCCCGAGGATTGGCACATTTGATTCCCCCTTGTTCTAATTTAAATACTGTATGGCCTTTGTTGTAGGTGAAAATGTTAGAAGCCCTTCAAGACATTGAAATAGCCTCAAGATTAGTTGGATTTAATGCCAACAATGAGGACTCAATTGATGATAATTATAAGAAGCTCCACTGTGATATGTCTCCACTTCCTCATGATAGTGAAGACTTTTGTTTAATTGAGAAGTTTCTTCATAATACTCATGCCCCTACACATACGGTATGATTATATTTGGTATACAAGTGGGTGTTTGGTGTATTAATGTCTCTGCTATCAGCTCTTTCATTTCTCACATGTACATGTTTCCACCATCTTTGTAATCCATCTATGCAGGACTGGAGTCTAGAACTAGAAGAAGTGTTTTCACTAGAAAGGGAAGGTGAATTTGATAAGTTTGCTCCTTACAGGGATAAACTTGGAAACAGGATGCTCCTATGGCATGGTAGGGTTTGGATATGTGGTGCTAGCTACTAGTTACTTGTATATTTGTTGTTGTAAAATATTCTCCTTTGATGTAGTCAAAGAGTGAAAAATTGAAAGAATGGAATGTAAGCAGATTTCTTAACATGAAAATTAATCTATGAAAGCTTCCAATCTCTAAATGTTTAATGGAATTCTTCTCATATATCTGACAACTCTATAGAAATGCCAATATAATACTAGAGCAGTGACCAGAGGAGTTCCAATTTCCTAAGGCTGAAACTTTTATGTTAAAATTTCTTTATCAATTTCAGTTGTAAACAAGTGGATAACTATTTTTTCAAAGTGCATACTTACTGCCAGAGATGAAAATAGGTACAAATTTGAGTTTGACACCTAACAAAATTGTTATCTATTATAGGTTCTAGGTTGACAAACTTTGTGGGCATTCTTAGCCAAGGACTCAGAATTGCACCTCCTGAAGCCCCAGCGACTGGCTATATGGTTTCTATCTACTACTGTCGTACCTCATTTTTTTTTAAATTTCTTGGATACCAGTACCTAATTAACTTTGCACAACAGTACTAAAGTCTGAATTTTTTGTATTACAGTTTGGCAAAGGGGTGTACTTTGCTGACCTTGTCAGCAAAAGTGCCCAGTATTGCTTCACCGATAAGAAAAATCCTGTTGGTCTAATGATTTTGAGTGAAGTGGCACTTGGAAACATCTATGAGCTCAAGAAAGCCAAGGTTAGTCTGCTTTAATCCAATTTGTGCATTTAGCATTTTTGTTCAAATAAAATAAAGTAATAATTTTAAAAGAAAAATCAATAAACTTTAAAAGAAATTACTATTTCCTCCAATTCAGTTAATCCAAACAATCCAATGTGGTTCATTATTTATAAGTGCACACGCATTCAAAAAGAGCTACAATGTTCATACTGCCAAATGGATTTGCAATAATTTTTGGTTTCATACTGATTGTCTGTCCTATGTGTAATAGTATATGGATAAACCTCCCGAAGGAAAGCACTCTACTAAAGGATTGGGCAAGAAAATGCCTCAAGAATCGGAATATGCAAAGTGGAGGGGCGATGTCACTGTTCCTTGTGGCAAACCAGTGCCATCAAATGTCAAGGCTTCTGAGCTCATGTACAATGAGTATATTGTTTATAATACTGCCCAAGTAAGTTTCAAGTCTGGTGTATTTTTTGTCATATAATGCCACTGAAGCAAGCTAAGATACTTGTCTAAATTGTAACATAATTTAATGGAAAAATTCTACTGTCATGGTCATTATTGGTTTGCAGTTTCAATATATTTGTTCAGATTAATTGGGATTTTTAATATTAAAGTTTCATGTAGATGAATTATAGTTATGTTGGATGGAAACTTGTGATAGAAATATTGTGCTAGAGATACATAAAGAGGAATGAATACCCAAACTTAATGAGGAAAATTCTTGATGGGGAAAAACCACTGGCAGAGGAGAAACAGATCACTAATAAAAAGTTGATATCATAGGGATAAGGTTGTCAAAATGGGTGATCCGTGCCCATGTGCCAAGTAAAAAAATTGTTGTCTAACTTAACCTATATTTTAAAATATATAATAATTTTAAGTTTAATTTAGTTTTATGTTAGGCCAACGGGTCAAATAGAACATTTTTGGCTTAGTTTAAAACTAAAAAACAAATTGTAATATGTCCATATGAAACAATTTATCTAGAAAACAAAAAGATTAATTTTAAATAAAAATTGAAATATATATATATATATATATATATATATATATATATATATATATATGTGTGTGTGTGTGTGTGTGTGTGTGTGTACATAAGGAAAGATCCCATTTATATCCCTGTGGTAAAGTACACAACTGTTAGCAAGTATGATACTTGGGTTTGTAGCTGATTAACATGAGTAGTTAGCTATTTGTTTTTCCATTGTCAGTTGTTAAAACCTGGTTCGTGACCTACTTTTGGATTTGCCATAGATAAAGCCCAATGTGATATTTCCTTTTCTTCTTTTGGTAAATCCAATCATATGACTGGATGTGTTCTTTTGTGCAGGTTAAGATGCAATTCTTGTTGAAGGTGAGGTTTCATCACAAGAGATGAGAATTGTAAGAAGTTTGCTGGTTTCGGGGTACTAAGCAGTTTTTTGACCGCACTTGTACGTAGTCCATCTGGGATTCCTAGACTTGTCTTGATAAGGTCTCATTTTGAGTTGGCTGGAGATCTTTCAACTTTTTTTTGGGGCATGTAAGTAAATGCAGGGATTTATCTTGTTGAAACCCGTCACTTGTAGCTGAATTATCTAATGTTTTGTGATCCGGTGGTCTGTATAGAATCTCTATTTTGCCTTTATCTTATTTAAAACACTATCTTACCCCAGTCTTGTAATTAGTTGCTGGGCTTAGGTCTGAGGTTTGCTTTTTTTTTTTTTTTTTTCTTTAACCATAATCATAAATTATAATTAAGTGCAGATAAAAAACTAGAGTGGTGGTAATTGGTAAGGCCAAAAATTAAAAATAGTCAATAAATACAAGATTCCTGGTTATTGGCCGTGGTGACTTTTGTTAGACAAGATATTACGTGGTGTGCATGTGTGTAATGTGAAGGTGATGCTATTAATTAATGCACCAATAAAATATTTATAATGACATCATGTCGAGGGAATATATAAATTTTTTGCAGTTACTTGCTTATGGCTATCAATCGAGTTCTCTACGCTCAATGGTGGTGAGTGACTGGTGGTGATTACTTAAAACTAAGGCGGCTCTTAGTAAGACCCATGCATGACATTGACTCTTCTTCATACAAACAGCCATTTCTCATTGTCAAGTATGACGAAGTGTTATCACTTTTTCTCTGTTTTTGTTTGTGCTTGTTATCATGTATGAGCCTCCTCTGTATAGTGGTTACTGATTTTTGGCTAATCGTACGTCACTGAAACCCACAAAATGCAGCTTGGTTCTTAGTTCGATAATGTAATGTAGACAAGTGTTTTTCATTGTTAGGTATTTTGGTGTTTTCTGATGGCTTGTCATCTGAATCTAGTCCAGGTATCTGGACTGGGCAAATTCATAATGGCAATTTTGAAATTGTAACATAATGATGTATAATATTAAAACCATTTAGAGTCCAGTGTTTTGAGGGTGACAACCAAGAAAGTGATGCAAGTGATGATGTACAATAGTTGATTTTTGTATAGTCATTGCCGAAGAAGGCAGATTTGATTTAAGATTTTGATAACGACTTTGATACATCTTATGTTAGATGAATCTCAGTATATCCTATGCCAAATAGACAAGATTTGAATTTCATGATTCACCCATAAACTAGAAAAAAACAACTAATTAACAGTCTCTTCTCTGCAAGTTGCTTAACACGGAGTATGTTGTAGACATAGCCCACTTCTATCGTGAGTCCTATGTGTGTTTACTTAAGCAAATCTATTGAATTTGATGTTTGCTTGAAATCCCAAATTTAAAGTATTATCGTCAAATGTAAAATTTTGTAAATCTTAGTTTATTAATAATTGCTCTCAAATCTCAGATTTTCATAAAATTGTTTGAAATATTTTTTTCCTAAATTCTAATACGAAAATAGTAAGTAAATTTATTTTTTAATCTAAACAATTCACCCAAATATGATAAATCTTTATATGTTTATGTATGGAATACATTTCAATTTCGTACATTTCTTTATTTTTATGATTATTTAACATTAACTGTTTATTATGTTAGAATTTCATTTTTTCAAAAAGTGTCTAACCTATTAAATTATATATATATATATATATATATATATATATATATATATATATATATATATATATATATAATGGCACATTATGTTTTACTTTTTTCCTGAGTTTTTGAAAAAAAAATTAATGATAAAATAGGTTTAACTTAGTGATATCAATATGTTTTACTTCTTTCCTGTATAAAAATAATTTATTTTATAAACTCAACATTTAGTATTTAATAGAAAAACTTATACTTAAATTTAAATTTAGATTAAGTTATTAATATACTTTAAAATATTCATTTTAAATTATTAATTTGGGTTATTTTATTAAATAAGAACTCAAACTTTCTCTCGCTCTCTCATTTTTATTTTGTTTTTTTTTTCATTTTTGGTAGGTCAACTACTAATCCATTTCTAAATGAGATAAGCCATGATTTTTCTATTCCACCATTAACCATTGAGTCAACCCGCTTTAATTTGTTTTTTGGCAAAGTAAAGGCAAGGCATGCCAAAGACGAATTAAATAGACCCCTATATAACAACTTTTACCCCATATGAAATTCATCCAAAAATCTTTCTTAAAAATATATTTTTCTGATAAATATAAATTAGAAATTGGAAAAAATAAAATTAAAATATTATTGGATAGTAAATCAACAAATCATTGCTAAAATATGTATGTACTAATATAGGATAAATCGTAAGTATATTTAGAGTATTTGACCATTTTAAGCATTGTCACTAAAATATATTGCGACATACCGACAAAATCATATAAGTACGACTAGTTACTGACGACAACATGTGTCAATTGAAATAAATGTTTTATAAGACTATATACCTCAAATCGTCACGTATTTCTTATAGCTATGTTATTAGGAATTAATTTGTAATTACGAAAAAGTTTATTGTCAAAATAAAATTTCCTTAAATGATCTCTATACCTCAAACAAATAGTCTTAGACTAGAAATCGAGTGATAAGCGTGGTATAAAAAAAAAATACTATCTTTATTCAAACCAGGGTTTCCCTTTTCATTTGTTCTTGATTCTTTATGTCTACACTCTGCACGTTTCATTTATTCTAAGCTTCTGTAAAACGTTTTTCTTATTCATAAAGAATATGAAAATGCGATAATAGTTCTGGCCCAGCAGTCACAGTACTGTTATTTTTTATTGTTGTGATAACCAGCAAATTATTTTTCAAATTGATTTCTTCTCACCATATATCCGCTACTCATTAGCAATGCATAGTTAATAACACGACAATACGAAAAATAAACTAGTAATTACCCGAAGAATCAAGCAATAAGTATTTATAATTACAGGTTAAGAAATAAATCATGCATCTACTAATTATTTCTTGAACGTTATGATTCTCGGATATATACATAATATATTTTATGATAAAAATTGGTCGTGATTAAAATATGTGTATAGTACGTAGTGGTACTAAAACGAGGTCTTACTAATCTGAAAATTGAAAGTAATATTTTGACAGGTTTGATTAGTATTCGTGTTGGAAGGAGGTGGTAATAAGTAGGAAGTTGTCGGTAGAGTTAACCGGCAGGTGGCAGTGAGCTAACTAGAGTTAGGAAGCGACAAACAGCAGCAGTTCCCAGGTGCGGCGTTCGGCGCGAAATTATAAAACAAAAACTAATCAAACCAATTTTTTTATTAAACTAAACCACAACCATACCAACCCCTCATTAATTTAAGATATGCACTAAACAAAACAAAAATATACTACCATTGCATAAAAGCTTAAATTTACATAAAAAAATCATATTTATTAGACATAAATGAAAATAAATTGTAATTTTCTAAATTTTATCTATTAATCATGTACAATATATATATATATATATATATATATATATATATATATATATATATATATATATATACGAAGCTACATTAATGGAATATGTATAAATAAATAAAATAGGAATGATAAATAACAGAGTCCAAGGTACATTAACTTGGTCTAATCCAAATAGAAAACCAGTCATGTAATGCCTCCACCATTAAGAAATGTTTCCTCTGAACCCTACATATGAGGGTCACATGTCCCCATTCACATTTCTTATAAGACTCTTTATGCCCCTTATTCCCACTGTCCCACTTCCCCTGACCCCTCCCTCTCCTTCTCCCTCTCCTATACCATACTCCTCACATTTTAGTTTGCACCATTTCCTAGTGTGCCCGTGTGCCTACAAATTTTATTCACTTCCCTCCATTCGGGTCCTTTCTTTTCTCACATAAAATACACCAACAACACCTCTTTCTCTTTCTCTCTCTGTGTGTGTTGGTTATCACTATTATACTAATTCTATGGCTTCTGCAAGTGCAAATGGTGGCTCTAATGGCTCTGGCTCTCCTTGCGGGGCATGCAAGTTCCTCAGGCGAAAGTGTGCAGCTGACTGCATCTTTGCACCTTACTTTTGCTCAGAACAAGGCCCTGCTAGATTTGCAGCCATACATAAAGTGTTTGGTGCCAGCAACGTTTCCAAGTTGCTTTTGCATATACCAGCTCATGATCGTTGTGAAGCCGTTGTCACAATTGCTTATGAGGCTCAGGCTCGTATTAGAGACCCCGTCTATGGCTGTGTCTCTCACATTTTTGCCTTACAACAACAGGTACCATTATATGTTCTCTCATACCTCATCAAAACTTTCAAACTTTTTGTAACTCTTTTCTGGAAAACATAGCTGGATCTCCTCTCAAGTAAACATGTTCCGTTTTTATGTTTATATTTCCTCGTACAGGTAACACATTAACACCTGTTTAATGTAAGACAAAACTTAAATACAGTTTTAGAGGTGTTTTTGGCATATTTTTCCAATCTAAATTGACGTTTTATTTCAATAATTTACATGCAAACATCTGTCACTTGAATTATTAAAATGAAACTTCAAACTTAATGGAAGAATAAGACGAATAGTGAAAACAATACCAAATTAAAACTATGTTTAAGTTTTATCCTTTAATGTCTTTTTCATCAAGAAGTAGACATAGAAAAACCAAACATTTGGACTCTCTCGTCAATCAAATTCTCTTTAGTTAGAACTTGGTAATTTTCTTTCTCATCTCCTCTTGTTTTTTTAATTTATGTTGGAAATTTGGAAAAATGCGCTCATTCAACCAAACTAGCTACTCCTGTCGTTTTCTCTTGTTTGAAGTCTAGCTGCCTAAGTTTGGCTTCTATGACGCCTCAAGGGCCAGTACTCAAGAATAATATTTATTACCATTGGCTTATATATAAAATACACACCAGTCAATTTATTTAGAAACAATCAGTCTCTTAATTAATCACCCTCTGCAAAATTCAATCTCTTCTAATTTTCTTACATTTTCCTTCTTCTTCTTCTTTTTGTTCTGTTGAAATGCAGGTGGCATGCTTGCAAGCACAGCTGATGCAGGTGAAGGCTCAGCTGGCTCAGAACCTGATGGAGTCCAGGAACATGGAGAATAATCATCAGTGGCCAGGGAATCACAGTGTTGCAGGACAAACAATGAACCATCCATTTTGTCCCACTTACATGAACCCTATATCTCCTCAAAGCTCTCTTGAGTCAATTGATCACAGCAGCATCAATGACGGAATGAGCATGCAAGATATACAGAGCAGAGAGGATTTCCAAATCCATTCTAAGGAAAGATCATACAACAACAATGACTTGGGTGAGCTGCAAGAACTGGCACTCAGAATGATGAGGAACTGATTATGACTAGGTTTAGCAGCAAAGCTAGCCTTTTCATTTTCATAGAAGTATGTTCCTTGATGTTGAGGGGACATGGTCTTTTGCAAGTGTTGTATATATAATGAGAGTGTCATGAAGAAAACTGGCCATAACTGATAAGCCTAAAGTTTAAACTATGCATTAGGCTTTTTCTGTTTGTGGATTCAATCCAAAAGAAATTAATTTTTTGCAGCCTAGCTAGCTGAGTCTCTCTCTCTCTATATATGTTTACTTCTTATTTCTCTCAAATTTGCAGGGTTAACTTTGAGTCTAGAAAATAATGTGGTTTTGTTATGTGAACTACAGTAAAGCGTAGACAGTCTTAAACAAAAATGGCAAAAGAGAAGCCTATAAAATAGGGGTTGTCATAAATTATTATGCATTCTTTGCCTGTCAAACTTCAATAATGATGGTGCGTACCTTTGAATTATGAGTTGTCCTTCGTTTCTTCCCTCTCCCTCCTCGCCTAATGGGGGATCTTTTTTCCAACAAAACCACACGCTTAATTGAACTTTTTAGATCACAATGCTTGACACGTTGAACTTTTTGTTTTATTTATGGTGGGAATCCCCATCTAGGTTAATTTCTATTTGTTAAATGACAAACACATACTGGCCTCACCTGTCTACTTTAGTGAATAATCTCTTTCACGTTTCTGAGGTGTTTGGCGACAGAAAGTAACATGAAAAAATACTTTACACACTAAGCTTCGGTTTACTGAAAAATAAATCATAAGCACTCTTCTTTTATATTTCACAATTTGTTATTTTTCTGATTTATAGAAGGGGAAGCAACAAAGGGACTAAAAAGAGATCATGCATGAGCCTTAATCATAGCATATTAGTCCATAACAGATTGAGCTTTCTCGTCCCCTATTTTATATATGTTGCATAAAAACCAGTGTGAGGAAGTGAAGTCAAAAGTGACCAAGATGCCCCATCTTCTTCAACATGTTTAGATCCAAATGCAATGCTCCTTGGGTGCATTGATGAGACATTTTTCTAATATTTCTTTTTGCAAGGCAGGGGGCTATAGAGGGGACTTGGATGCTACCATTATAGTTAAAGGCAAGCACAACCCTAGTTTGAGTATATCCAATGGACCCTACTTAGCTAACAGGCAGTTTTACCTAACATTACTATGCTAATCTAATTTGTAATATCAATATACCAATGATTTTGTATTCATACAAGTAGACAAAGTGTCTCCCCTATTGAATACATGAGCTGCATATCACCATTTATATTCTACCAATTAACTTCATTCTGTATTGTAACATCAAATGAAGAGCCTGCAATATTTTTGAAGGCACTTCTTTGATTTGGTAAGAGCCACTAAGATGAATAAATTTAGTGGGGTGTTGACACTTTTACGTACGGTGATGATCAAACAATGAAAGGGTTGTAGTAATAAACCGACAGAATTAGAGAACCGTACTACATATCGAATCAACTTGGTCTTGTAAAGTGCTGTTCTTTCTTTTTGTTTTTTGATCCCATCAAAGTGCTATTCTTGTGATTATAACTCAGCTCATAAATGTACTTTTAAATTGTTAATCGTGAAACTATTTTATGATTTCCTTGCATGCGACTCCAATATTATTGGTGAGTTCGTACTAATTTGATGGGTAAAATAAAAACCAAGCATGCATTGTGTGCCTTACAAATTATTTATAAATACAATGAAAATATAATTTGGTCTCATACTTGTGCACACACAATAATAGGTGATACCTTGAGTAGGGGAGACAAGAGTAGTAGACAGGGATCTTGTTCAACCCTTTCATTATAGAATTCGACTATGGGGACCATACGCAGAAACTCGAAGTGAAGCACAAGTAACCCTAGAGCAAGAGAAATTAAGTATCACCTAATAATAATGACTCCTAATCAAAGTTAATTTGCATGTGTGTGTGGCTAATAAATAAGATAAACTAAGTCTGAAACTTCAAATCATTGACGTGCCTTTGTAAACGAGTTTTACAGTAATTAATTAAGAATTAATTTTCAATTGGAGTCACGTCAATTTGCATCCTTAGAAAAAGCTTCTCATGTACGTAGAAAATTATGATATATATATATATATATATATATATATATATATATATATATATATATATATATATATATATATATATATATATATATATAATAGAGATCCTGGAAACAGAACTAGAAGTAGCAGAAAGATCTCCTAGGGTTGTAGGCTTATAGGACTGTAAGAAAATGAATGAAGTGTGCAGGCCATGGAAGATTGTTGTTTAAGCATCAATGGACCACCTTTAGAACCTCGGATGAACAGAAACTTACAAATGGACAGAAACTTACAAATGGACAATAAAATAAACATTCTCAGTCTTGTCTCAATTGATTTCATGAAATATATATATATATATATATATATATATATATATATATATATATATATATATATATATGCTTGTACATAATCAGTCCAATTAAACGGCCATTAATTCCATAATTTGTCTAAGCATTAAAGAATGGCAGAGCAGAGATAAGAACAATGAAAAAAAAAGCCTTTATGCCGGACCATTATTTGCACCTGGAAAAGTAATTATTAATTGGGAAGACCCATTAGTTTAATTGGAGATCAGTGATTATGATTAGCTGAACATGAGAGCAAAAGTTGCTCCAAAAAAAAAAAAGAATGGAACCTGAGCTCAGCCAAGAGAACATTTGTATTGGCCTTTGCTTAATTTGATGAGTTGCTATGTAATAAAATAAACAAATAAAGTGGAGAAGATCAGATCAGAGTGAAGTATATATTTCTTGCCATACTTAACCATCTATATGTTATTCATAGATACGTTTTGATTTATACACAATTTTTTTACCTGTAAAAATTAAAATCGATAAAAAAATCATTATTTTCATATGTATAATACATCTTATATAATAATTTATTAAGAATATAATTAAATATACTTTTATTGATTAAAAAACAATTATTTTAAACATGTATGCGATACAGTGAATCATGAATTATTAATAATGTAGAATATTATCCCCTGGGATTGGCAAAAGGACTCGATTGAATTAATGTATGATCTTGGGTCAAAAGTGGGACACACGTGCAACATTAATGTTTGATTTAACATGGATGTCACTGACGTGTATGAGATAGAGGACTTTGTCTTCCAAGAACACAAGTAACTGTCTCTCTTGTTTCTTATGAGATTAAAATTTTCAAAAAGAAGAATAAAAGAAATTAAAGTTTGGCAAGCCACGTTTTCGTTAAAATACTAATTGTTTTGAATTGGATGAGAATCACAGATCTTATTAGAGGATTGACATGGTGCACTTGTACTTTTTTATTTTCAAGATTTAATCTCATTAAATCATGATTAGTAGTAATCTATTTCATTGTAAATATTATTTTCTTATGCTCTGTTTGTTTGAACTGATTTGCGACGAAATACTGTTGACAAAGATAAAAGCACGAGATTCACCCACATTTGGTTGAACAGATTTGCGACGAAATACTGTTGACAAAGATAAAAGCACGAGATTCACCCACATTTGGTTGAACAGATTTGCGAAGAAATGCAGACGAGGAAAAGGGGGAGAGGGGAGAGAGACTTTCTTCGCTAATCTGCGAAGAAAAGAGACGAAATTCTGCGGGAGATAATGAAATGTCCAACTTACCCTCTTCCATATGATAGCGGTTAAATCTTAACCGCTATTATAATAGCACTTGTAATAGCGGTTAAAACTTAACCGCTATTATATATCACTTCTAATAGCGGTTAAAACATAACCGCTATTATATATCACTTCTAATAGCGGTTAAATCTTAACCGCTATTATATATCACTTTAGATAGCGGTTAAAGAGGAACCGCTATTATATCCTCTAATTATGATCGATCATTTCTTAAATCTAATCGATCAGAATCATATTTCGCTCGAGCGAGAAATAGTCGCTCAAGCGAAACACAACCCGAGACTGAAGAAATTAAAATATGGTTGTATATGATAGCGGTTCCACTGGAACCGCTATCTAATATACACTTTAGATAGCGATTACTGAGAGGAACCGCTATTATATCCTCCAATTATGATCGATCATTTCAAATTATGATCGATCAGACTGCTTTTCGCTCGAGCGAGATATAGTCGCTCGAGCGAAATGCAACCCGAGACTGAATCTTAAAATATATTTTTGAATATTATGTTTTTAAATTTGCTATTAGAGAAAACCTTTCAGAATTCAAAATGTTAAATACTTTTAAATATTAAAATTAACTTTATCAAAAATTAGGAAAACAAAATTTATCCAAAAGAGTTCAAAAATGTATAAGAGTATTCTTAATTTTGAGTTTAATTATATTATTAATTCTTAAAGTAGAAAATTATATTGTAATTATTTTATCTCAAGTTAATGTGATGAGACGATCATCAACATTTTAACATTCTGAAGTCAGATATATGGGACATCTTCGTCTCTCCTAGTTGTTCATGTTCTTGAGTGGAAGTGATTGAATGATCTGAACTGGAGGACTTGATCGCAAAAGATGAATAACATTATAATTATTTGTTTGAAGAGCATTAGTGTGCATAGATTTATAATTTTAGTAATGTTTCATTTAATTATTATTCTATTTTCACTTGTATTTTATATTTGTTTTAAATAATAATGTACAATTATATTATTAGTTTTCATAATTATTTGTTATTATCAATCAATATTAATTATTATTTTATATTTTATAATTATTTAATTATTAGTCAAATAATTTATTTAATATGTCAACATTATTTGAATATGGATATGCAATGTACATAAGGGATGGCAATTAAACCCGTACTCGTGGGACCGACCCGTCCCAGCCTCGAGTTTGACTGGGAAACCCCGAGTTGACCGGGGCGGGGTCGGGTTCGGGTTTTCCCGCTTTAAAAGTCGGGGCGGGGCGGGGATGGGTAATGCAATCCCCACCCCGACCCCGCCCCAATTTTATATTTA